GGGATGTTCGGTGGTGGTTATGGGGATACGGGGATGTTGGGTGGTGGGTATGGGGATACGGGGATGTTGGGTGGTAGTTATGGGGATACGGGGGTGTTGGGTGGTGGTTATGGGGATACGGGGATGTTGGGTGATGGTTATGGGGATACGGGGATGTTGGGTGGTGGTTATGGGGATACGGGGATGTTGGGTGGTGGGTATGGGGATACGGGGATGTTGGGTGGTGGGTATGGGGATACGGGGATGTTGGGTGGTGGGTATGGGTATACGGGGAGGTTGGGTGGTGGTTATGGGGATAAGGGGATGTAGGGTGGTGGTTATGGGGATACGGGGATGTTGGGTGTTGGGTATGGGGATACGGGGATGTTGGGTGGTGGGTATGGGGATACGGGGAAGTTGGGTGGTGGGTATAGGGATACGGACGGGGGAGGATGCGAGAATAGGAGGATGCGGGGATACGGGGATGTGGGGATGCAGAGGTGCAAGTCGCTGCCGCCATAGACCGTGTCTGTGGTGGTTACGAGAATCGATATTGGTCCAGATTCCCGATCATAAATGCACCAGGGAAAGAATTGAAGTGCTATCCAATTGCCTTTCCTCCGTATATGCATTAAACATGGTCATATCTATTGATCCTTCGTGATTAATCTGTCTAGCAGTGTGATCCTCCACGAGTTAACTAGATTTCTAAATCACATGCAAGATCAACCACTAACTGTTTTCTATACCTTCACATTACGCTATTTAGGAAGGCTAAACACGCCTTACTCTTTGCCCAAGGACGACATGTAGCTACTATGTCTTGATATCGGACACGACATCAATGGTCAAGATGTGAATCGATCATCTGAACTTTCAGCCCGAAGACCTGCGTGTTAACGACTAGTTCCGCGTTGGTTTTAGTAATAGGCGTTCCACGAATAGATGACGGGGCAAGCACAAGAGCAACGTGTGACTATATTGTGCTTGTTCACACATTTAACAGTTATGCAGATAATATCAGATAATAAGGTCTTGATAATATAGTGTTTTGTTAATTTCAGATAATTTTAAACAGAGAATTTCTGCGCAAGGCGAATCAGTAATCCGACGCAAGGCAAAGGCAAACTTTGGTATCTGGTTCATTTCACCACGTTTACGTCATTATAGATAACTTCATACAGATTGATCTCCCATATAGATTCAGAATACGGAAAACCAGATATAAACGTACTGGCTGGTGTTACTTTATACAACGTAACCACGCTGTTTACGATATGCATCTTCCATCCAAGAAGAATCGATCGGAAAGAAACATACATATGTATAGAATTAAGCTGCGTCATTACAACAAACGTTATTTTATCGGCGAATACTGTCTACGCAAGGAATAAAATAACGGAATCGATTGTCATGACATGCGGCGGCAGCTTAAGCGTAATAGCAGCCGAAAATCAGCACTATTATATGCGTTTGATGGCTATGTGAAAGTAAGACTCGATTTGCGACCAACGACAGCAATTGTTGTCCGCGCGTATGCATGAAATGATCTAACAGCAGAGGGATCACACGTCGCGGTAAAAGCAACACACGAAATTTCAGGCGCTTCAATGCAAAAAGGCAAATCGTGTTCCTGGAAAAAAAAACTCGAGTCAAATGACAAGTTTAGTCGCAACATTACTAGAAAAGCCAATAAAACGCGACGGCAGACACACGCACTCACTTCCCATACCCGGGCACTCATACCTCACGAGTCACACAGTTGGTTACCCACGCGCTTAGTATCTGCAACGCTGGACCCGGTTCCACAGACGTGGATTAACTTTAACTCTGAGTTAAACTCACTATAACTCTGAGTTAGTAAACTCCGAGTTAAATTTGGGTTTCATAAACATGGATAAAATCCTGAGTTAAGTAACTCTGAGTTAGGCATGTTTAACTCAGAGTTAAACTTAATCCACGACTGTAGAACGGAATTTAACTCTGAGTTAACTTTTAACTCAGAGTTAAGGAATTTAACTCAGAGTTAAGAGTTAATCCACGTCTGTGGAACCATCTCTACTGCATGGTGCTGTCACCTGCTAGCAGGTAGTGTCCAAACCTGCGCAGGCAGTTCACTTTGCGTAGTCGGCAATTTCGGAATAAAGCAGCTCCACCAGGTGTTTCTGCCGCTATTACTACTGCGTCTACTAGGAACACTACTGCCACAACTACAGCGACCCGATTAAATAATTGCAGGCCTTCAATTGAACACATGTTCTTTCTCTTACCTTATGATACAAAATACCATAATAAAAACAATGCAGAGATACTGCCTCACACTTCAAAATACGTAGTAATTTTAATGAGGGTTTACACGAACAGCCTACACGATCGCGATTGCATAAATTCAAGTGTTCTCCCACCAACACATCCAGGGACGTAGTGGCCTCCCAAAATGTGCTACTGCAGAAAAATGTAGGATCACCCAGTGATATTATCAAGAGTGGCGGTTATGGTGTGTGCCGCAAGCACGCATGGCTAACGCCGCGATCGCGAAGCCGATGCGGGGGGGTATGGGGGTACTCTCCCAGAAATTTTTTGAAATTTAGAGCCTGGAAATGACATTTCCTGCATTTTCAGGCTATGTTGAAAGCAAACCAATTCTGATAATTTTAAAAGGTCAATTTGTAAATTTCAAAGAAGAATGTAGCTAAAGCTGATGTTTGACTAAAGTATCTAAAATATATATTATGAGTATGATAATTAATAAAACATTGTTTACAAAATTGTATATACTATCAGTACATAATTATGAAAAATAATATAGTTTTTAATATTTCCGTTCCAGTGCATCGTACTTCAGAATACGTTGAAGCCGGGCCGTGAAGGCATGCATGCAACGTGTGTGTTGTGTGTGTGCGTGTGTGTGCGTGCGTGTGTTGTCTCTCTCTCTCTCTGTGTGTGCGTGTGTGCGTGCGTGCGTGCGTGCGTGCGTGCGTGCGTGCGTGCGTGCGTGTGTGTGCAACGTACTGCCCATATCACCTAATTTTGGAGAACTATCCGAAACATAGCATTTTATCGTGAAACATTTGACCGTTGCCCTTTATACTTGATGCACCTATGTATATTTGCAGCGCCTCGTATATGGTCATATGAACACTTTCGGTAAAACCATTGAAATTCTTGCCGCCATGGTTGAAAGATGTAGACATACACACAAGAAAAAAAAGCAAGACAATACTTCCTACAAGTTACGTGCTCTTGTATTAGCGAATCATTCACTAACCTCGAGTAAAAATTTAAGTACATATACAGATTACAAAGCTACCTACATGTGCAAAATAATACTGCAACTAGAATACTGCAAATGGCGCAGAAAGTGCGTTACCGGTGGCAGCTGTTGTGTTCACGGTGTGCAAGCTAACCAGTTTGCATACAAACCATGCCACTGTCCTGCTCACCACTAAATTACGAGCCTACACTAATAATGACAAGTGATGGCTTCGACGTACTCTAAAGCTCGAACATTCTATGGGCATAGCCGAAAGGGCCCGCGGGTTTATTTCCTTAACATCGACTGAAAACAACGCGGAATGACATCAGTCAGGATTAACATCAGCCGGTACAAAACAACGGCAGCATTATAACTTACATCCGCTTAAGATGCATGCCACCGGAAGAATATATATTAACGTATAAAATGGAGACGCTACGTAATAAAGCTATGATCGCTACACAACGCTCGATAGCAACCAAGGGGAGAGACGTGGACACTATGACATCTGACACCGGGACTGGATGAACTAATTTACTCAAATTTGGCAATACCATTCCTGCCGTGCGTTGTCTTCCATGATGACTCTGTTTTATTGGCATACGGAGCCATATTTCTTTGTTCGACAAAGAAACATGATATGGCTACGTCAATATTAAATCGAAACTGCGATGAAGTGATTATCAAGCAATACTGACTCGGGAAGTCTTTCATTGCCGAGGCTTGGAAGGTACGAGCGCAAAGCAATGCAGCGAATACATAGGGATATACACCCGAAGCCACATCATAATCTGTTTGGAACACAAATAAAATGAAAAGTGTTGGATTGCTATATTGCACTCTACTCTTTGGTGTATGCGATTCGAAAGAAATCACTGTTCAGAATTTAAAAAAATACACACAGCGTAAAACGAGTAAACTGGCCGTAGCTGTTTCGAGACATATACACTGTTTACAACTGTGACCGTGTCTACATTTTCCTTTGCATCTTGTGCCAACGTTTTGCTTCAACGGCATCTGACGCAAAAGGACGCTTACCAACTCTCTCTAGTAAGCTCGAATATATGCTAATGTGCAACACCGAACAGGCTAAAAGAAAACTTAGTGAGACGTGTGGAAAAAACTACAGTTGGACCGCCGCTTGTCCTATGCAGAAGTCTTGATTGTTCTTCACTGATGTCGCAGTGCGACACCACTTCCCACTAGAAGACTCTTGTCTTCTGCACTTCACGCTTCCACCTCATCCAGCGCTGCCGTGCACCAGTCCCGCAGACCTGCCAAAGAACAGAGAAGCACTATAGAACAAAGCCGAGAAGCAAAGCGCGGCAGCGGAGTGTAGAAATAATCACATCAGACACCGTTCTGATTATTCTTTCAGAAGAAGATATGTAATGAAACCTTTGCACGGGAGGGAGATCGAAACACCTCTTACTTTTGCACGAAACACGAGACAAGAGAATCGAAACCGCGCGTCAAATTTGGTAGAAGCCAGCAAAACGCAGTTAATTGTCAGGCTAAATCTTAGCATTGTCGTTTAATCTACTTCTAGGAAAGGTGACGTGAAGTAAAGCTTGCTGCTTATTACGCACTATACATGGCAGCATACGGGAACAAAGAATACAAGGTACGAGTGGGGTCGCCAGTCCGTATTCTATCACAATGAAGCAACAGTATCACGCAGATAGGTTCACTGCTGCCATACTCGACCCCACGCTCAGCGCATCGCTTCACTGTCATTTTCTCCAAGTACCAAGATTGCGTAGCAAGTGGCTGGTAGAGTATTCACAATTCGCGACTCTCTATCGTGGATGACACGGCGGTAAAAACAAATAAATCACTATTAGGAGCGGAACGAGTGTCGCCACGTGCCACCAGAGGACCACCGACAGGCGCCACAGACAGCAAGTCATGCGGAAGGACCGATAGCCTAAGATCCTGCCACAGCACAAACCTGAATAGTGTGTGTGTGTACGCGTGTGCATGTGCGTGTGCGTGCGTGCGTGCGTGCGTGTGTGTGGTGTGTGTCTGTCTGCGTGTGTGCGCGCGCGCGCGTGCGTGTGTGTGTGTGTGTTGGGGGGGGGGGTGTCTGTCTGTGTGCGCGCGCGCGTGCGTGCGTGTGTTGATTGTTTGTGTTGTGTTGTTTGTTGTGTGTGATGTTTTATACGTTTGTGTGATGTGTTGTTATGTGTGTGGGTGATGTGTTTGCGCGCTAGCGCAGTGTATGTATGTGTGTGCATGCGTGTAAGCGCGTGTAAGCGCGCGTGTGTGTGGTGGGGGGCACTGATCGTTACATTAGATTACGTTACGTTACGGTACGGTTCGGCATGACATGATATCGTATCATATGTGTGTTTGTGTGGTGTGCGGGTGAGTGTGTGCGTGCGTGTGTGTGCGTGCGTGCGCGCGCGTGTGTGTAGCAGAACTGGTGAGGGTGGGACAGGGTACGGCTAGTAGCGTAGGGATAGGTATGGTAGGATAAAACATAGTCGCTGTCAGTAATAATGTTAAAAACAACAGTAAATGTGTAACAGTAAAGTATTATCATCGACGAATTACTAACGAATTACTAAGAGCTATCGTTCTATTTAGTCCAGGTTCCAACACCTGACACAACTCTTCAGATGTCTCGGCTTATGTGCCAGCCTAGCTATAATCTGCAAGCGGTCATCAGCTAATACGAGATAATGGGCCAGTCTTATATCTTAAACACACACTACTCAGCACACCTAGCAAAGATGAGCTCAGATAATGAAGGTAGATGAAATAAACCACCACCGTGCAGTACATTAGGCGGCCTACATGGAAACACAAGTAGTCATTTGCACTGCTGGCTGTACGAAACGTTAATTAGCAGAAACGAGCAGCATTAGGCGAGTCGTACACCCCACAATACATTCAGGATGAGAATTAATATATCATCCCTGTAAGCTGCTGCTGTGCTGCTCCTATACTTTCACGGTAAACGTGCGCGAAACTCCTCCGCATTCTGTACACATTTAATTGGAGGTGATGACACCGCTGACCTGGTAACAACATGAGTATGAGATGCAAATAGGAAATTTTTCCTGTTGGATCACTACTAAAATAAATAGATAATAAATAGGTAGGCGGCTCCATTACGACTCCAGCATATTCACTGACTAACAAGCTAGAGATAATAGCATTAGGTTACTGCGCAAAATGACACTCTCAGGTCATGCGAGGACATGACTATAACATGAGCTTCTTCGTTTACATTATTATCAATTTGTGAGAGAAATAACAAGCATACGGTATTAAAGCGTCTGACAGATATTGAACTTGCAAGGAGAGTCCACACGTATATATATATATAGTATATAATAATAATAATAATATATATATATATAGTGTGTGTGTGTGTGTGTGTGTGTGTGTGTGTGTGTGTGTGTGTGTGTGTGTGTGTGTGTGTGTGTATATACGGTTTCTCAAATAATTAATAACCTAGTCTTTTTCCAATTATTTTGAATAGAGCGTGAATGTGCATAGCTATATGATCAGATACTCTGTCAACTCTATGTATATACATACATACATACATACATACATACATACATACATACATACATACAAATTTTGCCAGTTTTATGTTATAGATGTTGTATGAATATATGCATTGTATTTGTCATCCGCGAACAGTCTTCCAGCAAAAATATATGCAGATGGGAGATCATTTATGTAGACCAAGAAGAAAAGTGGACCTAGTGGCTATCCTTGTGGAGCACCGCATGTCACTGCACGAATAGATGAGCGAATGTCCCCCATTGCAGTATATTGTGTCCTGTTAGTAAAATAGCCTTTAAACATTTTCTAGAGCTGATCCCTCCGTAGTCCGTAGTGTTCAAGTTTATATAAAAGTACAGTGGTCTACGTGTCGCATTTGATACTGGGCTGCATGACATCACCGTGCTCACCAGGAACCGTGGAACCAGGAACCTGTCACCGTGGAACTCACCAGGACACGTGACCACGGAAAAGCCACGCCCAGGGTACAAATATGGGACGCATTAGCAGACAGCTAAGGGAGAGGAAATTGGGTAGAGGAGGAATGGCATAGAGAAAAGAGAATGTACGGGGGAGAGATATCATGAGGCACTCACTTACTGCTGAGCCCATGTATGTGGTAATATATTGTTGGCATCCGTCTGTCTCGGGAGACGATGGAGTTTTTTGCCGTGGTTTCGTCCTTAGGCTTTGCAGCGCGTTCTGTGAATATGCAGTCCTATTCTGGAACAGCAGGCCTTGTTGCAGATGCTGCATGTATACACCTGATCCAGCTGCGATGGAGATGCTGTTCCTCGTTTTTGAGTGTCTTTTCTCTGTCCACTGCTCATCCCTCTTCTTGTCACGTCTTTTCACACCTGACCCTACGATTTGCCTCCAGGTGCTGCGGTCTGCTGCCATGGCTTCCCATGTTTCTAGGTTGATGTCACTGCCCTTCATGTCTCGTTTGCAGACATCTTTAAAACGTAGAGCAGGTCTTCCAGTGGGTCTGGTGCCAGTCGCTATCTCACCATACAAGACATGTTTGGGGATCCGATCATCCTCTATACCAGGGGTGGGCAAACTGCGGCCCGCGGGCCGCATGCGGCCCTCTACGGGGTTCTGTGCGGCCCGCGAAAGCCTGCAGCAAATAAAAAATAAATAAAAAATAAAATAAAAATATAACAAATTTTTTTTTTTTT